CTCCTGGCTTCAGATCAGCACAGCCTGGCCATTGCATCTATTTGGGGAGTGAACCAGTGGAAGGAAGAATTTTCTCTCTGTCTCTCCCTCTCACTGTCTGTAACTCTATCTCTCAAATAAATAAAATCTTTAAAAAAAAAAAAATGAGGGGAAAACTGGAGAGTGACATGAGTCAGGTGCTATTTGGATCCACATCTTCCCCAAACACGAGATCATTTGAAATGCTAAATGGATTACTTACTGCTTGTGGGGAGCTTCAAAAAGTTTGTGGAAAATTGAATTAAAAGATAAGCTCATTTTGGTAGAAACAATGTTTCAAATCCATGCATTCCCATGAACTTTTGAAGAGCGGGGGTGTGCACAGATTTCAATTTTTTTTTTTTTTTGCACCAAAATAGATGGATCTTTTCATTCCATTGTCCACAGACCTTAGTAAATACCCTCATATTATTGATTTCTTTCTGGCAACTTTTAGAGCAGTACTACCAGCCACTGTGAACATGATCCTGCTAACTCACGGTTCTAAAAAGTGCCATCAGGGAGGTTCCTGCTTGCTCTTACGCTACAGGGTTCTGTCATTTCCTGATGCCTGCTTTGTACATGCAGGGTTTCTCCAGCACACCAGGAACCAGAAGCTCCCGTTTGTGAAGCCAAGGATGTGTGGGCAGGCACACGTGAATGAGTATGCACAGGTTGGGTGGTGGTGACCCATTGTGTGTCAGTTTTATGTACACGCACAGACGTGGACAGTCAAATCTGTTCAAGGATCTGGATTGTAAGATGTCTTTAAGTGAAAGGCGATAATATATGTGAAATTTCTTAGGAAATTCCTCAAAACAGATGCTCAATCAAGATGTCAGCTGAATTCCAATCGGAATCCTGGCACCTTTTGCAATCTGTGCCTGTGCTTCCCTCCGTGAGTAGGAATGACTGAAAGTGGTTTTGGAGTTCTTGTTTCCAATAAGGATTTGATTATTTCTAAAGCTAGTTTTCTTTATTATGAAGTATACTTTTTTGTTATTGCATGTGTAAATGCAAAAATCTACTTTTGTAGAATTTAACTTAACCCAGTATATGGGTTAGAAAAAAGACTCAGTTCTTTTTTTTAAGATTTATTTTATTTATTTGAAAGACAGAATTACAGATAGAGATAGAGCCAGAGAGAGAATGAGAGAGGTCTTCCATCCGTTGGTTCACTCCCTAAATGGCTATAATGGCCGGAGCTGAGCTGATCCAAAGCCAGGAGCTTCTTCCGAGTCTCCTTCATGGGTGCTACTTTCCCAGGCCATGACAGAGAGCTGGATTGGAAGTGGAGCAGCCAGGACTCGAACCAGTGCCCATATGGGATGCCGGTGCTGCAGGCTTGGGCTGCTGCGTAACAGTGCTGGCCCCAAGACTCAGTTCTTTGGGAAAAGTTTTCCTGGTATTATATCTCATGTTTAAAATATTTTCAAACATAAAAGGAAATTTTAAAGTTTAAAATATTTAAAATATTTTCAGACATAAATAGAAAGTTTAGAAAGAAAATCAGCATAGAATTACCTGTGAAAGTAGATTATTCTTTTTGGAAGTAATGTGGGGAAAATATATTTTGGTTTCAAAAAGTTAATTTAGACTAGGTTGCCCATAGGTCACGGTACTAACCAGTGTGGGAACTGATCTTTTCTCTGCTGTTATCTTACTGATCTGTTTAGGGAGAGAATGATTTTTTTTTTTTTTAAAGTGGTGTGAGGCTAAATTTAGTAAGTCTCCAGGTGAATGCAGAAGTCTGGGAGATCCTAGATATCCCAGAGGCACCTTGGCTCTGAGTTAAGGTGATGCCCCAGACCTCCAGGGCGCTCAATCACCTGAAATCCCTTGTTACTCAAGGGCAAGAGCCTCTTACTGTTGCCTGTGGGCGCTGAGCCCCATCCTAATGTCCTGTGGCAGCCCTTTGAGGCCTCGAGATTGTAGTGGGATTTTGACCCTGGGAAAGGTGTCACATTGAGCTCCATCCTCTATCAAGTTCACCAGGTCCTTTCCTGAGAGGGGATGGTAATGGGGAAAAGGAGCAGAGATTTCCCAAGTGGCTAAAGGTCTTAGACTTCACAGACAGGTCTGCCAAGGCCAGCCTTGAAGTCAAGTTGTTTTGGGGCATTGCTGTGTGTACCTGCTGCCCCCCACTGAAGCCACTATGAGTGGGCAGCTGCTTGTCCACTGCTTCTAGAAATATGTCAGTGAAGACAATGGGAAAGAGCAGGGGGAAGTAAGGTTGCCCATAGCAAGGATGGCAGAACTGTGTCAATGAATCCAGTAGGGACTGGTTTCAGGACCCTTGGAGGATGCTCAAATGCTTTATATTAAATGGTGTAGTATTTGCATACCATTGGCCTCTGTCCTCCTGTATACCTACAGTCATCTCCAGATTGTGTATACCTAATACAATGTGATTGCTATGCAAATAGTTGTTGTACTGTATTGTTTACAAAATAACGGGAAAGGGAAAATGCCTGTACATGTTGAACACAGAGGAAGAAACATTTTTTCTGAATGTTTGGTTGAATCTGCAGATGTGGAACCCGCAGATCTGGAGGGCTGACTCTAACTAGTTTTGCAGGTGTGTCCCCAAACCCTCCGCACAGGGCTGGCCAGCCAGCAGGAGTCAGCCATCAGACCTAACTGCCTGGGGGAGCCCGTGCCATTCTGCATTTATTAAAGGCTTCAGTTGGGATGAGCCAGGCCCAAAGATTTCCCTTTGGAGAAGAGAGATGAAGTCCTGGTAAGACTTCCTAGGTGTATGTGACTCTGCTTGCTGAGGCTGAGCTGTCTGTCCACTTGTGGTTGGTATTTCCAGAAGTGATTGACTCTTTCCCTTCCCATTTAGAAGTGTAAGTGTCTGTCTGTGGTCTCAGTGTTGGGATTTGAAGGCCAGACATTTCTGCCGCTTCTCATTTCTCTAGGTCACTTTTCTGTTGCAAAGCCTTTTTTCTCATCAGATGGTACCATAAGTTGTCCTACCCTGCTTAGTAGAACATCTGTGCGATAATGATGCCGGTGGCTTGCCTATGTATAGCATTTTATAGTGTTCAGAGCATTTATCTATTATCTCACCATGCAGTGCTGTCCTGGGTGTTGTGTATTTATTTACCATCTTCACCAACTTGAACACTCCTGCCAATCTTGTGTATATTACACAGGGTTTCCTACCCCCACTCCCTGCCTCCTCTTCTGTATTATTTTCCCCAAGGGCTGCAAATGGCAAAGGAATTTTTCAGAGAACAGTAGAAGTGTGTATATAAACAACAGTTTCTGATGGGAAAGTCCAGATAACCTGGATGCTCTTTATAAATCATCTCAGAGATGTAGGTGCTGCTTCCTTAGGTTCATATTATCAACAGAAGGTCTTAAAAACCATCTCTCTCCCAGAGCAAGGAAAATGTGTGCGTGAGAACCACTGAGAGCGTTTGTGTTGTGATTTTTCATTTTTGTGCCTAGAGCTTTTTTCCCTTCCTTCTCAACTTTGAGCTTTTGTATTGATTTCTTCAACCCCCAATGGAGAGACTGTAACTTCATTTGCACCTCCTGTCTTGTTGGGGTTATGCAATGTATGGTGAGATATCACTTATGAAATAGAAGGTGCTTTAGGTCAAGACCTGTCAAGTGGTTGTGTAAAGAATGTCTTGAAGGTTTTCTTTAGAGTACCTGAGAGACTCTTTAAGGTAGACCAGGGAATTTCTCAAACTCACTTCTCATTGCCCTACCCATCCCGTTCCCTGCCTCCATCATTCTATCCCAGTTGTTGGGTGCATGATAGAAGCCTAGGTGATACTTAGGGTCATAGAAACTGTAGGCTTCAAGGCCGAAGGGGAGCTAGCCAGTTGTTGGGAGCCCCTCCCATCCTTGCCTTCCTCTACACCATCCTCCCAGGACCAGCAAGTCTCAACCCATTCTACCCTAAGGGAGTGGGAAGGTATCCCTTTCGCTGAACCCAAATCTGTCTCCCTGTAGTTTCTGTTCAAGAAACATTGAGTGCCTGCCATGCACCAGGCACTGTTGCAAGGCTGAGGACACAGCAGTGAACACAGACAAAATATTGCTCTTTTGGATAGCTCTGTCTCTTGGGCTTATAGAAGACAAGTCTGATAATACTTCTGCACAGAGGCCCTTCCATGATGGCGAGACCATGCTCATGTCCTTCTGAGTTCTCACTTCAAGCTAAACAGTCCCAGTTAACACACTATAATACAATCTCGGATCTCATCACCATATGCTTCAATTGCCTTTGGGTACATTCTAATTTTGTTTAATGTTGAATTGATTTTTAGTGGATTGATTACAAAGATCTTTTTTTGTTATAAAGGTAATATACATTTGGAGAAATTTTGGAAAATACAGATAACTATAAAATACAAAAATTTCCTGTAATCCCCTTATCTACTGTTGAAATGTTGGTATATTTCCTTCTACCTTTTCCAACTTGTATCTGTTTACATAGTGAGACCTTAATGCATTATTATAATTGTGTGTCCTGTTTGTCCACTTAACATGGACATTTGTGCATGAATGATACTCATAAAATCATTTAAGTGGTTGAGCACTATTCCAGTGGGACAGGCTTTCGGAGATCAAGCCATGGGAGTGGTTGGGGTTCCTGAAGTGGGCTACACTACTGCTCTTCATGAAGTCTTCAGCCTCCCAAGCCATCACTCTTTGGGGGATACTAGTCCCATGTGGAAGCCATGCTCTGGTCTATATATCTACCGTGGATTCCTCTAACTTGCACTGCTCTTGATGGGCTGCTGCTCTTGTTTCTCTGTTCATTCCTTCGTGCTTCACCATGACCATGCTCTGCCCATGCACTTGGAGTTTAGGGCTGGCTGTAGGGTTTCCTTGTTACATCAAGACATCCAGGTGGCCATTTGGAGGCTCTTTACCGACTGGGTTCTGTCTTGAAGATTCTGTTGTCTTCTGGTGGATAAGTGAAGGCAAGCGCAGAGCTCACTTTTTCCCTTGGGCTGCAGGACTCCAGCTGAACCAGAAGGCCCTCACCACCTTCCCGGACGTGGTGCTTGTGCGGGTATCCACACCCTCAGTGCAGTCAGACAGTGACATCACTGTCCTGCGACACCTGGAGAAGCTCGGCTGCCGCTTGGTCAACCGCCCACAGAGCATCTTAAACTGTATCAACAAATTCTGGACATTTCAAGAATTGGCTGGACATGGGGTCCCTATGCCAGACACCTTCTCCTATGGTGAGTTTCCTTGAAATCAGATTGGAACTTAGCTTTCCAAACCACCTGCATCCTCATGTCTTTTCTCCCCCAGAAACCTTCTAGTGTTTCTTGCTAACTTTTTAGTCTTTATTTATTTACTTGAAAGGAAGAGAGAGAGAGAAAAAGAGAGCAAGGGCACCTGCTTCCATCTACTAGTTTGCTCCCTAAATGTTTGTGATGATTGGAGGCTGAAGCCAAGAGCTGGGAACTCCATCCAGTTCTTCCACATAGGTGGCAGGAATCCGATTACTTGGGCCAACACCACTGCCCCCCAGGATCCACATTAGTAAGAAATTGGAACCAGGAGCCAGAGCTGGGCGTCAAACCCCAGGCACTCTGGTAAAGGACCAACCGTGTCTTAAATGCTAGACCAAAGGCTCACTCTTTTGTTGTTGTTATTGTTTTTTTTTTGTTTGTTTTTGTTTTTGTTTTTTGACAGGCAGAGTGGACAGTGAGAGAGAGACAGAGAGAAAGGTCTTCCTTTGCTGTTGGCTCACCCTCCAATGGCTGCCACGGCCGGTGTACTGCGGCCGGCGCACCGTGCTGATCCAATGGCAGGAGCCAGGTACTTATCCTGGTCTCCCATGGGGTGCAGGGCCCAAGCACTTGGGCCATCCTCCACTGCCTTCCTGGGCCATAGCAGAGAGCTGGCCTGGAAGAGGGGCAACTGAGACAGAATCCGGCACCCTGACCGGGACTAGAACCCGGTGTGCTGGCACCGCAAGGCGGAGGATTAGCCTAGTGAGCTGCAGCGCCAGCCCCTTTTGTTGTTTTTTGAATGTGAGCCTGTTCAGTGGAGTCTGTTCCTTCGCACCTTTCTCTCTGTGAGGCATCATTATTAAATATGTAGCTGGTACACACTGTGTGCTGACCGCCACACTAACCCTAGGCCGTGGCTGTAAGAGAGTCTGTCCTCAAGGCATCCCCACTTCACCAGAGGCAGAAGACAACAAGTAAGCACGCAGTTTCCATGTAGTGTGGTAAGTGTCCTGTAGGAGTTAGTGCGGATGGACCAGAGTGCGTACATAATGCTGTTTATAAGACATGGAGGAAGGCTGCCTAGATGAGAGCATCTAAATAAGCTGAAGTCATCCAGCTAAAGGAAGGGGGAAGTGAGAGTAATCTAAGCAGAGAGTGGAATACAGAAAAGACCTAGGGGCCAGCACTCTGGTGCAACAGGTTAAGCCGCTGCTTGCAACCCTAGCATCCCATTTCAGAATGCCAGTTAAAGTCCTGGCAGCCCCACTTCTGATCCAGTTCCCTGGTAAGGTGTCTGGGAAGGCAACTGAAAATGGCCCAAGGTCTTGGGTCCCTGCGACTCATGTGGGAGACCATGAAGGAGATCCTGGTTCCTGGTCTCAGCCTGGCCCAGAACTAGTTATTGTGGCCATTTGGGGAGTGAACTGGTGAGTGAAAGATCTCTCTCTGTCTCTGTCTCTGTCTCTTCCTCTCTCTGTCACTCTGCTTTTCTAAATTAATTAATTAATTAAATAAATCTTAAAGACAAGACCTAGACATAAGATAGAACATAGGGCCGGCATGTGAGGGTGGAATTAGGAATGGAGAAGCTGCAGATACAGCAGCAAGGGCACACCTTAACAATGCAGGATCCCTGAGGAGTGAGAAGCAAAGGGGTCTGAGTGGCAGGGCCAGGGATGGCCTTAGATTAGAAAGACCCTTCTCTCACTGCACTATAAGGGTGAGAAAAAAAAGTGTTTGGAGTGGAATTCCGTTAACCAGTGGGTGTCAGGAAGTTGGGAATTCCCTTCTTGCAACAAGTCCTCTTTATCAGGAGACCCCGATCACCCACATTGCCTCCCCATTTTTTCTCTATCATTAGCACTTTGGTGAACAAGGCAGGCTGTTAGTGTTTCTAAATATTTCGCTTTGGAAAAATTGATAAATTATGATGCCACCCATGGTGGGCAGAACAATGATTCCTCAAATGGCCGAATCCCTGGGATTTATGAATTTGTAATGTTACATGGTGAGAGAGAATTAAGGTTACTATTGGAGTCAAGGCTGCCAATCAGTGACCTTCAAATAAGGAGGTTACCCTGAATTACATGGGTGGGCCTAACATAGTAAGTGTCCTTAGGAAGAGGGAAGTGGAAGAGTTAGAGTTGGAGGAAGATGTGCCTATAGAGGAAGAGCACAGTGATGAGATGCGAGAAGGATTTTGCCCGCCATGGTTTTGAACATGGGAGAGGACCATGAGCCAAGGGCTGAAGGTGACCCCTAGAAGCTGGACGAGGCAAGGAGATAGATTTCCTCCTGGAGCTTCCAGACAAGAATGCAGCCCATGGACACTTTAATTTTAGCACAAGGAGACCCATTTCAGACTAATAACTTCAGTGTAAGAAGATAGGTCTGTTATTTAAACTTCTGCATTTTGGTAATTTGTTACAGTGATAATAGAAAAAGAAGGCACCACTATACCCACAACATGTATCTCTCCAGCATGTGTTTGAGAGCTAGGAAATAAACCAAAAGAACCTGCCAGCAACCCAGATATGTATCACAAATCCCAACAGGTACTGAGCCTCATTTACTTGCTGTACAGAACGCCCTTCAGACTCTGATCTGGAGCCTAGCTTTCCCCATGCAGGAAACATCTCTCACAGGTTGTTTGGTTCTTCCTAAGCCCACAGCAAGGAGAAGCAGGAAGAGAGACTCCTGCTGTGTGCCAACACCAGGGAGAAGTTCCCAGTCGGTAGTCCAAGAGCAAGGACAGTGACGACCATGAAAACCAGGTCCAAGCAGCAGCAAGTGCACTAGTTTGGTGCCACTAAACAGTAGGCCAATGTAGTCCCTATGGGCATTATAGTATAGTCATTAGTGGTCATGACAGTGACGCTGAGTTATCAAGAAAAGCTTGCATTCAACATAGCATAGGAAACCAAAGGCATTTGTAAAACAATTTAGAGAGACTTTCATGCACAATCGCTATGCATATTTTTAAATTAAGGCTTGAAAGAGTGTAGTTGAGTCAGTTCAGGCTTTAGATTCAGACCTTCACTTTGGCTGAGAAAAACCTCTGGGCTTGGTGTCTGGGGTATTGGTTTTCTATTACTGCACAACAAACCACTAAAAACTTAGCAGCTTAACACCCACTGGTCACCTCTCTGTGGGTCAGAAGTCCAACCACGCCATCACTGGGTATTCTGCCTAGGTCTCACCAGACTGAACTCGAGGTGTCAGTGGGAGCTCATCTGAGGCTCAGGGTCTGCTGCTAAACTGACTGGTTGCTGGCATTCCGTTCTGCGGAGTTGTAGGACTGAGATCTCCGCCTCCTTGCTGGCCATCAGCCAGGGGCCATTCTCAGCTCCTGCAGGCTGTTTGCCATCCTCTGCCAGGTCACCTTCTCCACTACAGGAAAGTTTGCTCCTTCAAGATAGTGGAAGAGCCTCCCCCACACATCACCTTTTAAAGCAATCAGAATCACCTGATTAGTCAGACCCAACCAAGGATCATCTGCCTTTTGATAAGCTCAAAGTGAATGGCTGATTGCTTTTTAAAGTTTTATTTCTTTGAAAGGCAGAATGACAGAGAAGGAGAGAGGAGGGTGGGATAAAGAGAGAGATCCTCCATCCACTGGTTCACTCCCCCCAAAAAACCTCAACCACAGCTGAGGCTGGGCCAGGCTAAAGCCAGGGGCTGGGAACTCTATCTGGGTCTTCCATTTGGGTGGTAGGGACCCAAGTACTGGGGCCATTATCTGCTGCCTCCCAGGGTATGCATTAGCAGGAAGCTGCGCTCAGAAACAGAGGCGAGACTCCCCCCCTAGGCACTCTGATATGAATGCAGGTGTCCCAAGTGGAGGCTTCACTTACAATGCCTACCCCAGGCAACTGACTTTGAACTTAATCATAGATGTGAAATCCTTTCTCCAGTCAAAAAGGAGGCATTAGACAAGGTACATTCACCAGAGGGTAGGAATTTGGGGACTGTCTGAGAATTCTATCTGCCACAGCCACAGTCAAGATAACGTCCTATGAGACGGTTCCGAGGCCTGCGTGAGCTGGAGTGTGCGGAGCAGCATGTAGAAGGCACTCAGCAAATGCTGGCTTCCTTATCTCGACTCCCACCTTTCGCGTTGCAGGTGTTGAGTGGGTTTGACTTGCTTTCATCAGAGACATGAGGCCTGGTGCCCCTGGAGGGGGGGGGGGGGCGCCACCAGCCCTACCTTCACTGACTTTCACCTTTTCTTGGCAGGTGGGCATGAAGACTTTTCAAAAATGATTGATGAAGCCGAGCCCCTGGGCTATCCGGTTGTGGTGAAGAGCACGCGAGGCCACCGGGGTCAGTGCTACTCCTCCTGGGTAATCCGTCCCTGGGCAGGGCAGCGCTGCCCCCACAGGACACTCATCAATTGTGGCCGAAGCGCCGCTCAGAGAAATGGAGCTCCCCCTTGAGGAGCTTGTCGGTAGTTCTCCGCTCTGTCCCGTCCTTCCCAGCTGGCCTCGCTTTTGGTTCCCCTTGCAAGGTCGCAAGAGAATCTTGGCCTGATTCTGCTTGGTTTCCACTGCCATTGCCTCTGTTTTCTTTTTTTGTTTGTTTGTTTTCAGTCATTTCTCTGAAAAACGAGATCTATTCTTGCTGAAAAGCCCTCCCAAACCCCCGTGCTGCCGTTCAGCAAGACCCATTTTCCCAATCGTGGCCGTGAAGGCCCTGTGCACGCAGCCTCGGCCTGCCTTGCAACCTTCCCCCCGCCACGTGCACCCACCTGTTACCATTCCAGCCCATCTCTCGTTCACCAGATAGACTGTGCCTGTTCCTCTCTTCAAACACGTGCGCCCCTCCCTTTGCTGGAAACACTGGCTTCCTCTGGCCGCCTGGTGAACGTCGGCTCATCCTTTCATGCCAGCTCCAGATGTTTCCTTTCCGCCCATGTCCCTGGTCTTCCTCCCTCGCTTCAAAATTCATTGCACTTCCATTTTTGCTTCCATAGCACTTTGTACTGCCGCTAGCCTGTGTTAGTTTTGGGTTTATGTGCCTGTTCCCTTTCATAATCTGTAAGCTTCTCAGGTGGGGACCAGGTCCTGAACTTCCCTGTCTACGTAAGGCTCTCTCTAGTGCCTGGTACGCAGTAGAGACTCAGCTGGGACTTGAGGAACGGAAAGCAGTCCCCCTGCAGGGTATGGGCAGGCACTCATTATGATCCCAGATGGCATCAGAACTGCTCGGGGCATCTGGAGTGAGGGGAGGCAACCCAAGACAGATATGTAGTGGGTAGTTACTACCACGTCGGGACTGTGAGGCAGGCATAAATCGCTGCTGTCAAGGAGCTCCCAATTGTAGACGACAGACAGTTGCATCCGCGGTGATGGCCGTGATAGCACACATGTCCATGGACTGGCCTGTTTGAGCCTAGAGGAGGGAGAGTTCAATGCTGCCATGAAGGTTTCACTGGAAGAAAAGGAGACCCATGTTTAAGAGTAGAATTTGAACTGGAAGAAATGAGTGGGCACCATGCAGAGGTCCCATGTGTTTTTCCCTTTGGTGTTCATGTACTTTTGATGTCATTTTGTGTTTGGCCTAATCCAAGTTTTTAGATTTACATCTATATCTCCTTCGAAGAGTTGTAGTAGTTTTAGCCATTACATTTGGGTGTTTGACTCATTCTGCGTTAATTTTTGTACATGGTGTTAGGGGTCCATCTTCATTCTTTTGCGTGTGCATGTCCAGTTTTTCCAGTACCATTTGTAGAAGATACTATTCTTTCCCTGTTCGATACATTTGGAACCCTTATCAAAAATCTGTTGACCGTATGTGTACAAGCTTATTTCTCTCAATTCTATTCCACTGATATATTTATCCACCTTATGGCAGGCTGCACTGTCTTGATTATTATAACTCTGTAGTAAATTTCAAAACTGGAAAGTATGAGCTCCCAACTTGGTCCTTGCTTTTCAAGATTGTTTTAGATATTTTATTTTCTTTGCATTTCCATATGGATGTTAGGATTGGCCCATCAGTTTCTACCAAAAAGGAAGTTGGAGTTTTGATAGGGAGTGCATTGAATCTATTGATCAATTTGAAGAGTACTGACATCTTAATAAGAGTGTGGAACCCTTGGATACAGAGGGATGATTGTATATGAAATAAGCCTAAAAAGACAATGAGTGCACAGGCTTTGTCCTTGAAAAAGCTGCTAATCCTGTAGACCCTTTTTTTCTTATCTGTAGAGCAGGAACAAGCAACTGTAATGGCTTCATAGGGCTGGTGTGAAATGCAAATGACATAATAATTTTAAAAGTAGATAATTAATCTAGTGTCTCCCCACCTACCTCCTTTTTTTTTCTTGTCTTAAAACTATAGCTCCTTTGTTAACTGCAAACCTTTAGTAGAACTTTATTAGAAAACCTTTATTAGAACTTTATTAGAACTTCTGTGCCAGGAACCAGTCTCTAGCCCCTGTCTCTGCTGAAGATCCTGCCTAGTGTCCAGAGAGCCCCAGTGCCTCTGAGTCCCAGCCATCTACTGCCAGAGGCTAGATCTCCTAGTGCTGGATGGCTAACTGCACACACCTCCACTCACTGATTGAGACTTAAATACGCTTGCTGCGTGGCACCCACTTGCTGGAGCCTCTCCTGTTTCCTCTTGTACCCACTATGGGCCCTCTGCCATGCTGCAGCCACCGCCTGCCGCCTGACTGCACACCTTCCCATCACCTGCCAGCTAGCTAGCTTCAGACAAGGTACCACCAGTTGTAATGGGCATCCGTGGCCCAGTCATTTCAGGAATGACAAAGTCCTGGCTGTGGCATGTTTTGGAGGTTACTTACTTTTCAGGCTTATGTGTCACTAGGAGCGGATGTCCTTTGCTCTTATTAAGAGGCTCAGAAGAGTTCCACTCCTTGTGTGATGGCGACACAAAACCTGGGAAGACCAGCTCTCTGTTCAACACTTGCTGAACGGAACGCTCAGACGGCACATGCTCATGTCATATTTGCAGAGCAAACCTACCAGGAACCCCTGCTCAGAGCTGTTAACAAATTTGCAAATGGAAAGGAGGTGCTGAATGATTACAAAAGCATAGGGGCTTCAAGCAGAAAAGGCAGAATTTAGAATCAAAAAGGAGCGCTTTTCCCAAAGATCAGTAGAAGTATAGGCTATTACCCATTATGAGTATAGCCAAATAAAAATATACTTCTTAGATTTCAAAGGAAGAAGGACATCTACAGCTTCTCCTTTTGAGCTCCTGTGGTATCTTGCACAGGCCTGTCTTAATGTCTTGTCATTCTGCCTTGTGTTCGTCTTTTCTGATCTCTCTCCATTCGTGTTTGGGATTCCTCCAAAGAATGTTCAATTAATTATGGTCTATCAATATTGATTGACATATGGCCTTTGTGTGAAGCCTAATGGGAGGTCTGGGGGGTAAAAAAAATAAATTAGACATGGGCCCTGTCTAACAGGCAACCTCAAGGTTATGGGAGATGTTAATTAAGTGCTTTTGGAACTGAGTGGATTCGATCCTTGGGATCTTATTTTGGCTCCTTCTCTCTGTTTTTGGAAAACATGATGATTTTGCTTTGGAAGAAAAGTGGTGGTGGAAGGGAGAGAGTCAGCAGTCTTAAGACGTGAGGGAAATCAAGAATCAATCCAAGAAACAGAAGGGGCCAAAGTGAGGCAGGTTCCGAGGGAGGCGCTGACTGTGAAATGGGGACTGGGGGTGAGGGTGGTGCAGGAGAGCAGGGACACAGCCCCAAGGCTTCTCTAACCACTGCCCTTGCCCCTTGTCTTTCTTCTAAAGGAAAGGCTGTTTTTCTGGCAAGAGATAAGCATCACCTCTCAGACATCTGCCACCTGATCCGCCATGACGTGCCCTACCTGTTCCAGAAGTATGTGAAGGAGTCCCACGGAAAAGACATCCGCGTGGTGGTGGTCGGGGGCCAGGTGATAGGCTCCATGCTTCGCTGCTCCACAGATGGACGGATGCAGAGCAACTGCTCCCTGGGTAAGGTGGGCAAGTGCAGAGGGGGCCTGTTGGTCGTGGAAGGCACCAGGATTTTCCCCTAGGGTCTTTGACCTGCTCAGAAAATGTTTACCGATCCCTGCTATGTCATCAGACCCTCTGCTAAGTCCTGGGATCTCCCAGGTGAGAACGAGACATCCTCTCCTATGGCAGCCAGCAGTGTGAGAGGGAGACGTCTGAGTGTAAGTGCTGTGACAGAGACCAGGCCAGGGCGTCAGGACTGTGAGGGTATATTCTATCCCACAGGTGTTGGGACTGGACAGTTTAAACAGGGGGCAGCATGAGGACCAGCGTTTCAGAAAAACATCAGAGATGGTAAAGGATGGACTGAAGGGAGAAGACAAGAAGCTGGGAGATGAGTGTGGAAGCTGTTCCAACAGTTTAGGCAAGAAATCAAAAGTTAAATGAAAGCAATGGCAGGAAGAACAATCTTTTTTTTTTTTTTTTTTTTTGCTTTCACATTTTAATTGAAAATTTTGTTTGCCTTTTGTTTAAGGAATTTTTAATTTTTTTTATTTGAAAGTCAGTGAGAGTGAGAGTTGGCAAGCAAACTCCCATCCACTGGTTCACTCCCCAAATGCCTGTAAATGTTGGGGCTGAAACCAGGACTTAAGACTCAATCCAGCCGGCGCCGCGGCTCACTAGGCTAATCCTCCACCTTGCGGTGCCGGCACACCGGGTTCTAGTCCCGGTCAGGGCACTGGATTCTGTCCCGGTTGCCCCTCTTCCAGGCCAGCTCTCTGCTGTGGCCAGGGAGTGCAGTGGAGGATGGCCCAAGTGCTTGGGCCCTGCACACCATGGGAGACCAGGATAAGTACCTGGCTCCTGCCATCGGATCAGCGCGGTGCGCCGGCCACAGTGCAGCAGCCATTGGAAGGTGAACCAACGGCAAAGGAAGACCTTTCTCTCTGTCTCTCTCTCTCACTGTCCACTCTGCCTGTCAAAAAAAAAAAAAAAAAAAAAGACTCAATCCAGGGCTTCCATGTGAATATGAGCTCCCAACAGCTTGAATCTTTACCTGCTGCCTCCCAGGGTGCATATTAGCAGGAAGCTGGAATTTGGAGCAAAGCTGGGACTCGAATCTAGGCACTCTGATACAGGGTGCGGGTTTCTTAACCAACAAACTAAAAGCCTGCCCCCTTCTTTTCCTTTTTTATATCATGCTATTAGAAAGCTGAGGCTTATGCTTAACCCCATCCTATTAACCTATTGATAAAGTTTGTTTTCTCTGTGGAAATGTTGTAAGAGGGATACAAATTCTTGTCCCCTTTCAAAGGAGCTATTGCCAATCTCAGTGAAAGAATTTGTATCTTGGTAACATGAAAAAAAATATCTAGAGTTTTTATTTCCTAAGTCTCCAGATGAGCATACCAAGTGCAATGACTAATAGAGGCCTAAACTCTCATCAGTTCTTTCATTCGTGCTGGTTGAGCAGTTCCAGGAGGTCTATAGTAAATGCTGGGAGTGCAGAGAAGACTCGCAGGGGCCAGCATTGTGGTGCAGCAGGTTAAGCTGCCATCTGTGTACTGGCATCCTTTACCAGAGTGGCAGTTTCTATCCCAGCTACTTTGCTTCCAATTCAGCTCTCTGCTAACACACCAAGGAAGGCAGTGGAAGATGGCCCAAGACAGCCCCTGCCAGATTGAGTTCTAGGCTCCTGGCTTTGGCCCGGCCTAGACCTTGGGGGAGTGAAGCAGCAGATGGAAAGTCTTCCCTCTCTCTCCTCTCTCCTTCTATGTGTGTCACTCTGCCTTTCGAATACATTTAATGTTGTCATTTAAGATATTGTGATAAAGTGGTTAATAGAGTTGAATGTTAGATTCACGTGGACACAGTACTAAGTGCCTTACCAGTTATTTCATTTTCATAATTGTGCATAGTGCTGCAATATTTAACTTTGTGCATTATCATTTGGTCTTTTTTCAGTTACCTTTAAGAATCCTTTCTTTAGCTAGCAATCATTTTGTTTACTCCTTTTCTTGGTAAACTGTTTTAAATTTGTGTTGTAGCCTTTCCCTTATGCAATGTCAGAGGTAAGGGATGGGCTGTGTTAAGATAAAGACCTAAGTGGACTCAATACAGGTCTTAAGTCTTTACAGGGAAACTAAATGGAAATGATGAAATCTGAGGTCCTAACTTTTACTAAAAAGAGCAATCAGACTTTCTCAGTCCTTGATGCAGGATTTTGCCTCATAATCCTCTCCATCTCTCCTTAAAAATCAGTAAGAATTTTATTTTTCCTAAACATAAAATAATATATTCTCAATGAAGAAATTTGGGAAACACAGCAAAGGCAAATTAAAAATCCAATCATTATCTTCACCATCTAGAGACAACCACTGTGGACATCTTGCTGTCATTCTTTTTTAGAGATTTATTTACTGGGGTTTGTGTTGTGATGTACAGGTTAAGCCACTGCCTGTAATGCAGGCATCCCATGTAAGCATCAGATCAAGCCCCGGGTACTCCACTTTCCATCCAGCTCCCAGATGGTGTACTTGGGAAGGCAGCAGAGGATGCTGCCATGTGGGATCCCTCGATGGAATTTCAGGCTCCTGGCTTTGGTCTAGCCCAGCTGTAGCCATTGCAGCCATTTGAGAGTGAACCAGTGGATGGAGGTTCTGTTTTTATCCCTCCATCTTGCTCTGTGACTTTCTTTCTTTCTTTCTTTCTTTCTTTCTTTCTTTCTTTCTTTCTTTCTTTCTTTCTTTCTTTTTTTTAAGATTTACTTATTTATTGGAAAGTCAGAGCTACACAGAGAGAAGAGAGGCAGAGAGAGAGTGAGAGAGAGAAGTCTTCCATCCGATGGTTCACTCCCCAATTGGCTGCAACAGCTGGAGCTGTACCAATCTGAAGCCAGGAGCCACGAGCCTCTTCTGGGTCTCCCACATGGGTACAGGGGCCCAAGGACTTGGGCCATCTTCTACTGCTTTCCCAGGCCATAGCAGAGAGCTGGATTGGAAGTGGAGCAGCCAGGTCTCAAACTGGCACCCGTATGGGATGCTGGTGCTTCAGGCCAGTGTGTTAACCCACTGTGCCACAGCGCCAGCCCCACTGTGACTGTCTTTCAAATTTACTTATTTTGAAAGACATAATAACAGAGACAGAAAGAGAGGGAGAGACAGAAATATCTTCTATTTGTGATTCAGTCCCCAAATGGCTGTAATGGTCAGGACTGGTCTAGGCCAAAAGAAGGAGCCTGGAACTCCATCCAGGTTTCCTATGTGTGTGGCAGAGGCCCGTGCACTTAGGCCATCTGCTGCTGCTTTCCCAGGCATATCAGCACGGAGTTGGATAGGATGTAAAGCAGCCAGGACTCACACAGGTGCTCTGATAGTGGATGCTGGCATCACAAGTTGCGGCTTAACCCCCTGCACCATAATATCAGCTCCTGTCATTTCTTTTGATCTGAAAAAATACTTTTTTGCATAGTTACAATCATTTTGTACAGTCTTTAATCCTTTTAAGTGTTTTCCTATGAGATTAACAAACTGCAAACATTAGTATTGTTTGTGAAATATACTGTTTTCTTCTATTGTGGGATATTTAGATTACAATTTTCATTTCTTCATTCAACAAATATGTTATTGAAAGCCCACCACTTCTCAGGCACTGTGATTTTCCTGTATTTTGAATAATACTGCCACCAGCATCTTTGGGCAGATGGGTTTTCGTCCACTTATAGGACTATTTTCTTGGTGGCATGGATGCGTCAGCAGGTATCAGCCTTTGGAAGACTAGCTAGGAGATGACCACACTGATTTCCCCGAGGGTGCCCTGGCTTCCATCCAGGCCTCTTGGGAGAGCCCTGGCGGTGCATGTCTTGCTGTCCCTGTCAGCTATTCTCTGTCTCCTTTAAAAAAAAAAAAAAAGATTTATTTATTTACTTGAAAGGCAGAATTATCTGGGGTGGAGGGAGACAAAGAGATCCTCCATCTGCTGGTTCATGCCCCAAATGGCAGCAACAGCTAGAGCTGGGCCAACTCAAAGTCAGGAGCCAGGAGCTTCTTCTAGGTCTCCCATGGGGGTGCAGGGGCCCAAGCACTTGGGCCATCTTCTGCTGCTTTCCCAGGTGCATCAGAGGGTAGCTAGATTGGAAGTGGGGCAGCTGGCACTCCAGCCGATGCCTATATGGGATGCCTGCATGGCAGTTAGTGGCATTACCCGCAGCACCACAGCGCAGGCCCCATGTCCTCTGCCTCCTTCATGGAGGGTCATTTGACTCCCCAGTCAGTACCCATTGTCACCTTTATGTCCCTGTGCTTTCCCCGCAGGTGGTGTGGGCGTCATGTGCCCACTGACTGAGCAAGGCAAGCAGTTGGCTATTCAGGTGTCCAACATCCTGGGCATGGACTTCTGTGGCATCGATCTCCTCATCATGGATGATGGCTCCTTTGTGGTGTGCGAGGCCAACGCCAACGTCGGCTTCCTCGCCTTCGACCAGGCGTGCAACTTGGATGTGGGCGGGATCATTGCAGACTATACCATGTCCTTGCTGCCCAACCGGCAGACGGGGAAGATGGCCGTCCTCCCGGGGCTGTCGAGTCCCAGGGAGAAGAACGAGCCGGATGGCCATGCTTCAGCTCAGGGAGTTGCCGAGAGCGTCTACGCCATCACCAATGGGTCTACCTCCAGCGAGAGTGAGCCTGAACTGGGAGAGATCCGGGATTCCTCAGCGAGCACAATGGGGGCCCCGCCCCCTACGCTGCCGGAGCCTGGCTACAATATTAACAATAGGATCGCTTCGGAATTAACACTGAAATGAATTCTTGCTTTTTGGCAGCATTTCAACCAAAATCCTACCGCTTCCCTCGTAGTTTTGAGTGAATAAAACCTGGACTAACGTGATTTCATTTGCACAGAAACTAGGCATCCCACCTGGGCACTCAGCATTCTCTGTCGACGATGATCTAAGCGAATGGCCTGGCTTGTGGTATTTCTAAAGACACAGAAAAACACTCCCCAAGAACAACACCGCGCCTGGTGGGCTGGAGACCCACGTCTGCTGTGAGCACTTGGATTCCGCCGCTGACTTGAAGGCACTGCCGCCGGGCTGCTGTTCTGCCTGTTAGTGGTGCAGCCTGTGAACCTGGAATGAGTCCTGAAATATGGAGCAGCCTGGAGACAGAGTCTCATGCAGACAAGGTGGACCAGAGCCGCAGTGACGTGTTCTTGGCTCAGTGTGGCGGTGATGCTCGGAGAATCCCCAGTTCAAACGCTGCTGGCATCTGCTGCCGTCAGTCACCACCTTGACCGTACTTCTTCACTCAGGATATGGTATTCTAGGGACCCTGCCCATTAGCGTCTTCAACGAAGCACTTTGTAGAGAGTGAGATGGAATGTTCTTTGACTTCACTGATTGGCAAGTGGCCTGCCTTGGGACTGGGGCTTTCTACAAATTGCTTTGCCACGCTGCACTGATAGACCCTGCTTCAGTTCATGCCGGCTCCAGCAGCTTCTTGCACCTTTGCTGCCTTTGGCCCAGCTGGAAATGCACTGCAATGAGCCAGTGGCCGCACACTTTCTCTCTTAGGCGTGCACTAGAACCCAACACCATGGACTGTCTTTTCAATGGACTCTGTTCACTCGTCACCCAGAAGTTAGTGGGTTTTCACCATAGAGAACTACAGGAAGATACTCCCCTCCTCTGCTGAAGCTTGTGTCCTGCTTAGCTGTAGGAGGTTTCCTTGTGTGAGGTGGTAGTGTGGGTGTATGACGTAGAGAGAGCCATTGGAAATGCACTCCAATCCCCTCGACATGCTATGCTTATCCAGGCTCCAGAGACCTGTCCTCACCCACGTTTCCAAACTGGGGAGACTCAGGTATCAGGAATTACTTGTTGCACATTTTGAGGGGCTACCATAGACATGACACCAAGTGCTTTTCATTTTAACTCTTTAGGCAGTAGACGAGACCCTTCCCTCAGGAGAAAGTATGGAGATGGAGCGTCTTCCCCTGCTTACATGAAGTGTGACTGACAATGAGCAAGGCTACCTTTTTAACCAAATACACTAGACCATATGCACTCAAGAGTTACCATAATTGGAGTTATTTCCTTGGGAGACCATGCTCTTGAGCTATATGATGTTAATGTGCCAAGAACACTTAGAATTCCTCTTTGAGGTTATCTTTTACCTTTGAAGCCATGAAAAGAAAACAGACCTCACAACTTTGTAGTCAGACATCACCGTTTCTCCCCATCACCATCTGTTGAGGTTGTGCCAAGCTCCATCACCCACTGTATTTATCAGACTAATTTTCTAATACTCTTTGGCTGTTAAATCCCTTTCAAAAAAATAGATCTTCCCTTAGAAGTACAAAGATTTACTGACATGGAGGAAGCTTACAAGTTCACAGTTTCCAGAGAGCGTTCTAGAATGTTCTGAGCAAGGTCAGCTTCACTGAAATAAGAATACATCTTCCTAAGGTGACTACTTTAATGGCAACCCCACCCATTTGGGTGCACAAAATCCCATAGCGTTCTGCTGTAGATGTAAAATACGCATCAAATCAAACTATCACACTTAGGTAGGATTTGGCTTTTAAAATATTATAGTTAAAACCAGATCTCACCAAGTAACAGTTGTGCAATTGAAAAATGTTTGGTGCCATGTAATGGAGATGTCATCCTACACAGTTGTAGTCTAAATGCAGACCAACATGAGGTGCATGCCACTGACCTGTAACCCTACTGATGTGTCCAGTTGAAAAGTGAGACCACTTCACCTTTATATAGGTAAGACACATACCTTATCTTCACCACTCAGGGTGGCTTTTGAAGGATGGTTCTGGGTCAGTTCTTGCTGGACTTGGTCAGAGGCTTTCTGTGTAAACATCGGAACCAAATCATGACCTGGAAGCTGCGCTCACTCATTTCCACAGTGCAGCATCAGCCTGCTCTTCCCACTTTATCTAAAGAACGCCAGCAGGGCCCCCTCCTGAGCAGAGCAGCTAGAGCGTGCTTCCAGATTTCCCTGCGAGGGAGGCCCGTTTTCCAGCTGTTAGTGACGTCTGTTGTCGTTGGCATCATTGCTCAGAAGTAGCCCTGTGCGGAAGCAGAGAGAGCTGGATCACAGCTGGGTCGTAGGCCCCCTCCAGGATCACCCATGCCCCAGGTGGGTATGGGCTCTACGAGCATCAGCCAGGTGGCCAGGCTGCCCTTGTCGCAGCTGCCACGGGCCTGCTGGAAAGAGCCTGGTCTGGCTGCTTCAGCAGCTGATTGACTTCGTACAGTCACTGGACGCTGTGCTTCCTTTTCTGTTCTTTAGATAGGGGAAATGCCTATTCTGGTTACCTGGGGGTGCCTTGAGGGTGAGTTAATAAGTGATACTGTGCATTGTATGTGACAGGTGGTAGAACAGTTTCTTATTCCCATTCCTTGGAGGGAGTTACGAAAGGGGCCATGAATTCTTGGAATTAGCGCTTGGGAGAGGAGTGGGGCTCTTAAAAGGGAATGCAGGTTCTCAGAGGTCTTCCAGCCAGCCAGGGCAACTGAAGAGCCAAGAGGAGCACGGCTCCTAGTGTATTCACACAGCCTCTGAATTACTGTATGCAACCTGAAACCCTGGACTCTCAGATACCAACGAACAGAGTCTTCCTTATGTAACACAGATTGCAGTGTCTATATATGGTTTTCCCATTACCTGGTAGTAGCATCATGAAACTGGTCAAAACTTGAATGCCAATAGCTCAGTCCCTCAGAATATATATGATTCTGCACTTGTCTTCCTGCTATCTGATTGGGCATGGGGTTCCAAAATGTGGATTTGGGGCTCCGAGATCTGAGAGACAGGGTAAGTGGATTGTCAGTCATTGTTTTGTCACTACTATAAAACGCATTGCTGCCTGCTAAGGGGATTGCATGACAATGGGGACAAGGTTGAGGGAAAGGGATGGGGAAAGGCCTGGAGAGCTTTGGGGAAGAAACCAGAAGTTGGGATCATTTGGAATTCTAGCAAAAAAGAGGAAAGAACCGGCTCTTCCATGAGCACCGTTAGAAGTGGGTGCCTCTGATGCTCTTCTTTACAAAGATAAGGAGATGCATGGATCCCCATGCCCCCTGGAGAAGCAGCAAAGACCTGTCCCCTCCCTTCTTTAAGCCCTAGGAATGCTGGTTGTCTGAACACACTGGCTGGAAATCTGGGGAAGAGGGAAGTTTGCAGCTGGCTCTCCCGCAAGGTCATGGCCCAGAACACTATGTGAGGGCAGAGCACCGAGCCGCAGTCCTCCCAGGGCCATGCAGGAACTCGGGTCAGTCCGTCCAACAGGTCCCCTCAGCTTACTGTTTTCTTCTCAGGAGAGGCTTCTCTGCCCTGATGCTGTGCCGATGTTTTGGGAAGGCCCCTGGCAACAGCCCTGGGGGTCGGGTTTTTAGACCTGGGGCTGTTTCTGCCTCTGTCTCAGACTCAAGATTGGTACAGACAGTTGCTTCAAAGCATTTCCACTTGAAGACCATTCTTCTCAGAGATGCGTTCTTTTAATCATTTCCTAAAACCGAGTGATCCCTGCCTTCCAAGTCTATGGCCAGACTCTGCAGCCTGCCCTCCTAAAACTCACACAGCTGAGTATGAGGACTTTCTTCCTCTGAGCCTGTCAATTTCCTTCTGCAGGTGCAATTTCTGTGCCAACCTGTGGCACCATCTGAGCCCTGGGCTGCCATCCCAACCCTATTGGGGAACCTCACTCTGAGAGGTTTGAGGGACCCCTTAGCAGCACTGGGAAGTCACCTAGAGTGCCCAAGTGGAGGCCACAGGAATAGCAGCACTTTTGCGACCAGGCCCCCTCTTGTATAAAAGGAGTCTGAGTTGCAGAGGCCACAGTCACTTAGCAACAAGGCTGAACCCAGGCAATCTGAGTCCCCATCCAGTTCAGCACACTGCCAGAGGTGCCTCCGCCCCCACACGGAGTCTCACACTCGCTGCCAGGCTGGGCCTGCCCCTGGCCTTTCCCCTTCTGCTGCGCCTCCTCTGGATCAACATGGATTCAACATGCTGATGGCTGCTAGGTGAGGGCCCCAAATGCACGTGTGAGATTTCCATGGTACAAGCTGGCTTGTGACCTGTACCCTCTTTAGACCAGCCAAGAGCAGTGAGCTCCACCCCAACCTTCAATGAAGGGATGTAGGGAGAAGGCCTATGCCAAGCAGACTGAAGGCTTCCTCACCCCCGAACTGGGCTGATGTTCTCTCTGCGGGATGCCTTGGAGGCCAAGAGGGTTTTTGATTTTTGTTTTTTAAGATTTATTTTGGGGCCTGCGCTGTGGCATAGCTGGTAAAGCTGCTGCCTGCAGTGCTGGCATCCCATATGGGTGCTGGTTTGAGTCCTGGCTGTTCCACTTTCAATCTAGCCCTCTACTATGGCTTGGGAAAGCAGTAGAAGATGGCACAAGTCCTTGGGCCCATGTACCCACATGGGAGACCCGGAAGAAGCTCCTGGCTCCTGGCTTTGAATTCCCCCAGCTCTGGCCATTGCAGCCATTTGTGGAGTGAACCAGCGGATGGAAGACCTTTCTCTCTCTGTAACTCTGCTTTTCAAAGTGTTGCACAGACAGAGGGGGAGAGAGATCGTCCATCTACTCTTTCACTCCCCAAAAGGCCACAATGGCCAGGGCTGAGCCGATCCAAAGTCAGGTGCCAGGAGTTTCTTCTGGGTCTCCCACGCAGGTCCAAGGACCCAAGCACTTGGGCCATCTTCTGCTGCTTTCCCAGGCACATTAGCAGGGAGTTGGATCAGAAAGCAACCTGGACTCAAACTGGCACCCACATGGGATGCCAGCATTGCAGGTGGCCACAGCACTGGCCCCACCAAGAGTTTGACATTCCGGAATTCTTGCAGGGAGAATTCTTTGGATAAGCATGCTCCAACTGTGATCAGCATCAAGGCAGAATGTTACCTCCTCCTCCTGGTTTCACAGCCCCCCACCCTGCCTCTTGCAACCGCATAGGAGGCACAGACTCTTCCCTGTTGGCCCAAACATCAGTTGAGGACCTCCTGCCCCTTGAGATCTGCAAAGGTCTGATAATTGGGCTCCAGTTCCAAGCCTCTGGATTGTTGTGATTTTGAAAGGACTTAGATTTTTGCAACCATTTCTGACTCCAGACTTCTGCTACCTCATTTTAAACAACCCTGTTGTCTCATCCCTGGAAGGGATCAGCTGAGGCTGATCAGCAAAATTCAAATGATGTGTGTGTGTGCCTGCACACGTGTGTGTGTGTCCTCCACTGAAGAGAGAGGGAATGGCAGATGCTGCAATAAGACAAGCTGAGCACCCATTCATAGAATGTTCTTTTGATTTACCAGAGAGCAATCTCCCCTCACCGTGCACTCCATGTGGCTTCCTTCCTCGGGACAAACCAAACCCAGTTGTGTTCGCATGGACAGCAGAATGGCCACTCCTTGTCCTGATTTTACTCCTGCCACCACCTTACCTTCCTGATTTCCCCTTTAATCACAGGTGGCTCATGAAAGGCATTTTTCTAAACAAAGCTCCCTTCTCAAGGGGAACTGAGTGCTGTGTCTTAAGGTGACTGTATTTTCTCTTTCTGAAACATTTTGGAAATTTATTTGAAAGGCAAAGTTAGAAAGATAGAGATCATCCATCCACTGGCTCACTATCCAAGTGGCTGCAACCACCAGGGCTGTGTCAGGCTGGAGCCAGGATCCAGGAGCTTCTTCCTGGTCTCTCATGTAGGTGTAGGGGCCCAAGCACTTGGACCATCTTCCACTACTTTCCCAGGCACATTAGCAGGGAGCTGGATTGGAAGTGGAGCAGCCAGCCTCAAACTGACCCCCTCCCCGCTATGCCACAGAGCTGGCCGCAGGGTGATTGTATTTTCGTCACAGCAGCCACACTCACCATTAGCTGTTGGAGGCATGCCTTGGGGAAGGCAACATGCGCTAATGTGAATGGCACCAATTTGAGTCCCATTCGGTTCAAATCCTGACTCGGATAACTTAAGGCTTGTGTGATCTTGGGACAAGCACTTTGTTTTGCTAAACCTTTGCCTTGTGGCCTCTCGCTGTGATGACTAAACATTAACTGGAGTGTGAAGCAACACGCACATGCCCAGTTTTCTGCAGGTCCCTTTCCTCTTGTTTCCCCCACCGTGAACAATTGCGAGCAGCGCCTTCCTGGGATCATGGCTCAGTGCCAGGGAATAAAGGCTGGCAGACAGCAGCTTTAGGGCTGGGGGGAAGAGAGGCTGGGGGGTCAGGCTGGCAGCTGCTCAGGCAAGCTGTGGTTCAGGCTTAATGACTGGAAGGTCCCATCCATCCTCGAGAATCTATGATGCAATAGTGCAAGCTACAGTGGATTATTGGGCTTGGAGCAATCCTGGAGGCAAGGCTGTCTCAGACAACTGGGAGATGAACAGCCTGACCTTGGATGATTTAGCACCTGGCTCTCTTGGCTCTTCCTGTATTAGTTTTGCTGGCAGTGCAGCAAATGGAAAGAGGAGGTGCCAGGGAGTTGAATTAAACCTGTCAGAGGGTTAGAGGGGAGCAGAAGGCCGGGGGGCTACGCACGGAACTCTGAGCGCCTGACGGCACCATCTGGACTTGGCAGGAAAGGCAGCCCTGAAATCAGCTGGAACCATCCAGTAAAGCAGCTAGAATTTTGTCTGTCCTGAGTGTGGCTCCCAGCATCTCCTCGTGACAAACACTGATCTCCTGGAAGGGGACAGCTGGGGCCCTGCATTGCTCTGCAGTCTTGGTGGAGGAAGGATTGGGCGGTGCCTGCTTTGTTTGGCCCTGCCTGGAGGTCCCCCGAACTCCAGCGGTGTGCTCTGGCCATCCCATGAGAGTGGATTCCAAAATTTTCAGAAATTTTGTGAGCTGGTTGTTAAGCACAGCCATCATTAAATTATTTAAACCTACAATTAAACTGCATTTAAAACATAGGTAATAAAAACTCAAAATGTATTGCTTCCTAATTATTGTACTATTTATGTTCTTGAGGTTAATGGTGGAAATATTATTTATGTTACTGTGCATCTCCCCAAATCCACCATTCAGTGGCATAGCATCCGTGGCGTGAAGTTAGCCACCGTGGGAATATTTATTTATACCCAGAGACTGGCAAGCATCACACAGCAAGCCCCCCACATCCCACATGCATTGACAGCTTGGTCGTTATACACTGATTCCCATGCCACTGCCACTGGAAACGGAGGAAAGAACTGGACACCCGTGAGCACTGATGTGTCTTCATTCCAGGTGGGTAGCATGCACGCGTGATGTTTTACTCGGAAGCCAAGTGTCCCAACGTAATGGGCGCAAATGATGTGACCACACAAACACTGCTTCTGTGTTCTTCCCACCTGAGACCTCTGATTACTTTGCTCCTAAACTTTGCAATGATTTGCAAGGCTTCGTGTCCCGCCGTGGGAGGTGCTCCAGCTAAGTTCCCTCCAGGAAAGCAAGCTGTTATTTTTCCCGTCTGATTAGCAAAAAGAAAACATGCTGCAAAGAATGGAGCTTAACTAGGCACCAGAATGGCTCATTTCCGAGCAGTTTACCCGGTGGTGCCAATGCCAACTTCCCCAGCAGAGGAGAAATCACTGATAAGTGATTGTTCTGCTATTTTTGCTTCTTATTGAAATTATGACTCTGGGACAGAATGCTTTGTTTGCCTTTGTCCCCCAAGCCCTGTGCCTTTTGGTTGTTCTTTTAAAGTCAGAATCACATGCTGAATCTACACTTGATTATTTTCATATCATAAAAATGAAGGAAACACCTCGTAGAAACCTCACCAGCTGCGTTCTGAAAAACCGTAATTTTCCTTTCAAATGCAGAGCACCATCTGAATTGTAATACTGCCAGCTCTGGACTGTCAAGATGCTGGAGGGGGGAAAAAAAACTGCAGATGGCGCGAGCTCATTGGGGCCTGTGAGGTGGGCTCTCCTGGACTGACGTTTGAATTGAGATTCAAAGAGCAAGTGAGAGCTGAAAGCCTGCAAAATGGCTGTGCGGCACCATCAGGGGTCCCCAGGGACTGAAGGGACCTGTGCACCCCCTGGGGAACTCGGACAGGCCAGCCAGAGCCATCCCGCCTGGGCTTTACTGAACACCTCAAGAAGCTTCCTGGGACAAACAGTGGCAAGGACTTTGGGAACCAACTTAGGGTCAGCACCAGGCTAGAGACCCTTGAACCAAAGCTGCTGCCCGAGCTCCGAGGGGCAGGGAGCCCAACCTGAGGGTTAGTGTCTGCTCATTGGCGCCAAGGGGGACTGGGGCTGTGCCTCTGTGTCCTGCCACTCATTTGTGCTCAGCCTCTGCATCGGGGCAGGCGATCCGTATTTCTTTTTTCTCCTTTTATATAAAGCCTTTCAAATCACACAAAAGCAGAGCGCGTGCTTTGGTAAACTGCTCAAATTCCAAACTTCAGAGTGTTCTATTTTAACTCCTTCTGTCCATTTTGTTCCTTAGGCATTTCATAGCAATTCTCACATAACACATCTTCTTTCCTGAGGAAACTTCAGCGTGTCTGTTTTTGTTGTTTTGAAAAGGACATTTCCATGTGCCTTTATCACGGATCACAAAATTAGCAGCACCTCGCTGATCCCATCTAATTCCTAGTGCACACGGAAGCTCCCCGAACTCTCAGAGAACCGCCCATCGGCCGATCGTCCACCAATGGTGGGGCAGGAGGAGCTGCCTCTCCATCGTCTGGACCAGGACTTGCAGACATGGCTTTAGTCTGGCTGCAGCCACGTTCCCAAGCGGATGGATCTTGGGACAGCCTGTCCTCAGGGAATAAGCCTCGTGAAACGTGCCCGGCGTTCGGCCACCTCCCAGGATTCCTGCGGGGCTCTCCTGCTCCAGGCGGCGGGCAGCCAGGCAGCCGGCTGTCACGCTGGCGCTCTCGCCACTGCTCCTCTGCAGGTGCGGCTCGCCGGGCAGGGATGGCCTGAAGTTCCTGCCACAGATGCCGGCTCCTTCACGAGCCTGGGGCGAATCCACTCTTTACATCTCCCAAACGGCCTTGGCGTCTTTGTTTGCCAGAATATTTTGGTTGAAATGCACCTAAATCGGGGAACATTCGAGTAGCAGCACTTGTGCCACATCTAAAGGCTCTCCTCTGACTAGAGATGCAGCGACTGACTGCCTGCTCCAGGGTTTTGTTTAGCTATAGAAGACGTCCCTAAGACACCCGGCGAGGGGCCTGTGCTGTGGCACAGTGAGCTAACCTGCCACCTGCGAGGCCAGCTTCCCGCATCAGAGCACCCTGTCGAGTCCTGGCTGCTCTGCTTCCCAGCCAGCTCCCTGCTAATGTGCCGCGGAAGGTAAAGGATGATGGCCCACGCACTTGGGCCCCTGCCCCCACGTGGGTGACCCCAGATGGGGTTCCAGGTTCCAGGCTTTGGCATGGAACATCCCCTGCTGTTGCGGCATTTGGGGAGTGAACCATCAGATGGAGGAGCGATCTCTCAGTCTCTCTCTCTCTCTCTCTCCCCCCCATCTCCTTCCCTCCCCCTTCTCTCTCTCTCTCCTCCCCTTTCTCCCTCCTGTCTCTCTCCCCCACCTTCTGTCCACCCTTTCTCTCTCCCTATCACTCTGCCTTTCAAATAAATAAAATCTTTTTAACAAAGACAAATGATGAAATCTTAATGTGGTCTGTATCATGTCATCCAACAGAATATCACTGCTCATTTCCTCATTTTAAGAATGTGCAAGACATCATGACTGCAACAGTAATGGGTGTGGAGAGAAGAGGCTGAAGCAAATGTGGTGAACTGTTAGCATCTGGAGCATCTTGGTGAGCGCTGTTAGGATATTCTTTATACAAGTAGCACCAAGCCTGAAGCTACGCCAGCCGCCTCTGCTTCCTTAAATGCCCGTTTCTTTAGGCTGTGTTCTCCTCCTCAGCTGTATTTCATCCCCAGGTGATCTCCTTTCCATGGTATTAATTACCATCTACACAAACTCACCTCTGAACCCCAGGTTCCTCTCTTACTATCAGGTTGCTTATCCAGTTGCCCACCTTTCATCTTGTCTCAGATATCTCTTAAGAATTTCAAACAGAATTCATATTCTTATCTCTCTCCCACATCCTGCCCCTCTTCCTCATCTGAGTGCCCAAAGCTAAGCGCTTGCTCAAATGAGGAAAACTAAATGCAACTCTGGTTGTCACTTTTGGCTGTTGTCTTCCTCAGCCCCTACATCCGATTTTGTTTCTTGGAGTAAAATTTGACTTTCAAACCACGAACTTTTTTTTTTTTTTAATTTGACAGAGTTAGACAGTGAGAGAGAGAGAGACAGAGAGAAAGGTCTTCCTTCCATTGGTTCACCCCCAACATGGCTGCTATGGCCCGCGCTTTGCCAATCCAAAACCAGGAGCCAGGTGCTTCTTCCTGGTCTCCCATGTGGGTGCAGGGCCCAAGCACTTGGGCCATCCTCCACTGCTTTCCCGGGTCACAGCAGAGAGCTGGACTGGAAGAGGAGCAACCGGAACTGGAATCCAGCGCCCATATGGGATGCTGGCACCAGAGGCAGAGGATTAGCCAAGTGAGTCACGGTGCCAGCCCCGGAACTATATTTTATTTGAAATTTTATTTTAATTGAAACCCCCCCGCCATGTTCATTAAGATAATCTGGGGGTCCTGACAGTAACCTGGTTCACATGCTTTGAAAAACCTGCTACAGGGGTTGGTGTTGTGACTTAGAGGGTAGAGCCACCTCCTGAAATTCCATATGGGTGCCGGTTCAAGTCCTGGATGCACCACTTCTGATCCAGTTCTCTGCTAATGGCCTGGGAAAACCAGCAGAAGCTGGCCCAAGTGTTTGGACCACTGCCACACATGTGCGAGACCTGGATGAAGCTCCTGGCTCACGGCTTTGGCCTGGCCCAGCCCTAGCCATTGCAGCCATCTGGGGAGTGAATCAGTAGATTCTCTATCTCTTTCAAATACATAAATAAACCTTTTAAAAAAAACCTGCTACTGAGTACTTATTTATTAATTATTGAAAACTGTGTTATGGGTATATATGAAATAAAATGTCTGTCCCCATTACATTGCCATCAATTTTGATGGATACTAATGACATACTTTTTCTGTCAGAGGAAGTGTTAGCATGGTTCTATTATTCAAATGATGCTTGACCCTCTTTTTGGAAGCATTTTCAGATGGAATAGTCCTTATCAAAATGCCTGGGCCCAGGAGAGTTTCAACTATCATGGTTTTTTGGATTTTGGAATACTGCATAGCCTTTTAGCAGTTAAGCATCCCTAATCTGAAAACCCGAAATCTGATATGTTCCCAAAATCTGAAATTTTTGAGCATGTTACATGGGCACTCAGAAAGCTTTGGATTTTGGATTTTCAGATCAGGGATGTTCAACCTGTGCTTTGCCAAATGGTGGATTTCTGTGACCCATCGTGCTTGAGAGGTGCCGTACTGCACAGCCATCACGAACACAGAGACATCTCAGCCGCACGCTGTGTATCTGTAGTGGGATGCAGGGACGCCTGCCACAGTAGAGCAATCGATTTGCATCTTGGAGGTCTGAGGATAGGTCTACAGCTGAGCAATGATAATATGGTACAGAGTCAGAATGCAGGACAACTACTCAAAGTGAATTTTCATGAAATAAAGGTTATATACAACATGACCTAATGTGTAGCAGTGCGTATGTGCCTGCCTGAGAAAAAGTTAAACCAGGCCTTTCAGGGAGGATCCCTCAGCGGCACCCCTGTGAGGCCTGCCAAAGATGCTTGGCAAAGCTGCGATGACCTGGTGGGAAGATGAGAAACGTGTTCTGGGGGAAGATGAGAGACGTATTCTGGGAGACCTGCAGCATCACCGGGATTCCTGGTTCTTCTCAACCTGCTCAGACCCTTTGGGGTCAAGTGAACTACATTGCACAGAGCTCTTCAAAATTGAGATTATTTCCTGCATTAATTTATCATGTGTGAAAATGCA